CAGCCTTGCTAAGTGTCCAGGGTTCATTACCAGTAGATCCTCCCATGGTGATTCTGCAGGATCGGCACTCCATCAAACCCAAGCAGAAAGCACACAGGCTTCCCTGTTTCTTGGAGGTTTCATTCAAGTCACACCAAGCCGTGATTAAATAAATTTGTATGCTTTTCTCTTGTTAACCTCTCCTTTGTGATAAAGGTCTCAGCCAGGGACCTTGTGATGAGTGATGACAAGATGTTACTTTTTCTCCCTCCAGACAAAACTGAAAAGCAAAGGTATCAGGAACACGAAAACATTTTTTTTTTTTTAATGAAAAGGTCAATAAAATCTGGTAAGCGTGATGGAGAGAAGGAATGGAAAAACCAAAGTAAACTCCATCTAGATTAAGAAAGTAGATCAGTGCAGACATCAAGGGAGACTTCTCAATGAAAACACTACAAAGAACTTTACAAAGTTGGTCGAAAATCTTATATAAAATGGATTTTATGAAAATACAATATATGTACAAAATAACCAAGGATTATTTACCCCATTCCTCTCTTCTCCAAAAATGAGACACTTCATTCGTTTGTTCGGTTCAAGGAGTATTACCCATGATCGTGAAGTGGTCTAAGGAGTTAGGGTTAGGAAGACACCATCCCCTCCCCAATGTTAATCTATAACACAACATATCCCCCAAATCAAAATTGTCAGGGAATTTTAAAATCGAGTTTGAGAACTGAATTTAATGTGCATCTGAAAAAGCAAACATATGAGAACTTAAAAGTTCTTTTGAAAAATGAAAGGGGATTTGCCTGACTAAATAGACAGACTCCGCAGTAAGAACTTCTGGAATCTGAAAATCTTTCAGTTATTTGGCCTGAAGCAGCCAGAATCTTGAGGGCTGGAGAAACCCAACAAAGAGTTTCCTTTGCTTTATCTCGAAGTCATTTTCTATTTGGGCCTTTTGAGACAGATCTCTCTGTAGCCCAGGTTGGCCTCAGGCTCAAGGCAATCCTCCTGTCTCAGCCTCCAAGTGCTGACATGACAAGTATGAGTCACCTGGACTAGTCTGTACTAGTTTTCTGCTGCTATGGTAACAAGCCACCAAGGTTTGGCACTTTAATTTTACAGATCAGAATGCTGAATTGGGGTCTCCGGCAAGAATCAAGGTACAGGCCAAGTTTCGCTGTCTTCTGGAGGCTATAGTCTTGTCTTCGCTAATGGGCAGTGGTTGCCTGCAATCCTGGGTTCAGGGCCCATTACTTCAGGTGCAAAGCCTGAGTCTTTCTCACTCTGCATCACTCTTAACTTCGCCCTCACCCTGCCCTTTTCCACATTTGATGGTCCTCATGATTACACTGAGTTCACCTGGGTAATCCAGGGTAATTATGCTGGTTTAAAGTCAGCCAATGGTGGGTTGCATTCCATCTGTAATCTTAATTTCCCCTTGCCATCTGATGTATATACACTCACCCATTCTGTTTGGATTTTTGAGATACAATTTCATTATGTAGCTAAGTCTAGCCTGGAATTCACCATCCTCCTGGCTTAGCCTAGGATTAGAGGTATGCATTACCACACCTGGATGAGTATATGTTATAAGATTGAAAGTACATGTTAGATACCAGTTTCAAAAAGCTAAATAGACTTATTATAAAAAATGTGATAGCAAATCATATAGTCTACAAATGGAATATTTTAAAAATGGCTATCAAGAGATATATCCGAGTGGATTTAACATTAGACCAAGGGCATATTTCAAGCCACAGAGGTAAAGAGTAGACAGTTTACAAGAGGAAACTGTAGGGTTACTGGAAATAAAAGGATGATCTTTATTCTCCATATATATAAGATATTCCATGCAGGTCTAACATTAAAAACTTTAATAGCAGTAGGAAAGTATGTTTGTACTACTGGGGTGGTAAGTCGTCCTTATAACCCAGATCACAAAGCAAACCTTGATAATATTAACATAAAATGAAGATGTAGGCAACAGAGGGAAAAAAATGATTATGTATGACAAAAGACAGCCAGACCAGATCCAGCCTGGTGCCACAGGCCTGTAATCTCAGCTACTTGGGAAGGCTAAGGCCAGAGGAGCACTAGTTCAAGGCCTGCTTAAACTTCAGTGAGTTCAAGCCTGACTAACTTTGTGAGACCCTGTCTCTAAAGAAAATATAAAAGTGCTAGAGCTGTAACTCAGTGGTAGAGCACTGACCTACTATGTAGATGTTCAAACCCTAGCTCCAGGGGGAAAAAGAGCCATGAGTCAAGATCTTTGTGTAGCCTGAACAAGGCCACAATTCTATAAGACAAGCCAAGACATGCACAGGTCCATTCTCAGAAGAAATGTGATGGCAACAAATCTGTCAACTATAATCAAACCCACAGAGATATGCCGTGGTAGATGACCCCACCCCATAAATAAACAAACGTAATAAATTTTAAAAGCACGTGCATGATTTGGGGCAGCAATACAGGGGAGAAAGCAGGACTCTGTAAAACTATCTTCACCGAATGTGCTGTGTGTAGTATGCTCACATCTAATATACCCAGAAAATGTCGGCCAAAGGCTTCCTTCCAACGGAGCTGGCTCAATGTGCAGTGGCTCAACAAGTACTTTCCATGCAGGCATGAGGAGCAGAAATTAGGTCCCCAGAACTCAGATAAATGCTGGGCAGTATGGTGGCCTGCCTGTAATCCCAGCGCTTGACAGAGAGGGGATCGCCAGAGCACGCTGGTTGACTAGCTGAATCAGCAACTCAGGGTTCAGTTGAGAGACCATGACTCAATTTATAAAATGGAGAGTGATGAAAGAAGGCATTCAGTATCAACCCCTGGCTTTCACATGCAAACACGCAGACACACATGCATACCACATACACATACAAATGCAAAAAAAAACAGAATTGTTAGCAAAGGTGACTACTATGCAGGTAAACAGGACTGGGAGGAGGTCTAAGGAAGAATTTATCAAATAAAACACATTTATTGCTTTTGTTTTGTTTTGCTTTTTGGAGACAGGGTCTCCCTGTAGCCCAGCTGGCCTGGAACTTGCTTTGCAGACCAGACTGGCCTCAATCTCACAGATTTGCCTGCCTCTGCCTCCTGAGTGCTGGGACTAAAGCCCTGTACCACCATGTCTGGCTCACATTTATTCACTTAAAGCAGGCATGTATTATTTTGAAAACTCCTTTAAAAATATATGAGAAATCATCACTTAGAATAAATAACCCCCAAATGGATACAGCAATGATGATCAAAACAGTGACATTAATTTATCTTGTGACGTCCTTTTTCTTTTCAAGAAAAAATGCCTGGCAAAAGAATCTAGCTAGCCATCTTCAAAGAATGTTAGTATAGCTACAGGGTTTTCAAATTCTTTGAATGTGACCTAAGAATGTCAAAAATCATGCATCTTTCAAGGACAAACACTCTGCATTAAGTGCCTCCACTCCAAATCACAGTCTGTAAGTTTTGCCTCTCCAGGAAGGTAATGTCTGCAAATTCAAAACATAGCCCTTTAATATTGCTTAGATGACACAAACAAATTAAAATAAGGCCAACCTAAGCCAGTTGTGTTTATCAACCTGATCCCCTCTGAAAGCAAGAAGTGAAGTCAAATACCCTCTAATACTATTTATTAGTGAAGTAATATAATACATTTTGACAAGTTGAACAGTTTTAACAGGCAGCTGTTAAAGTCTCTACAGGGCCTGTTTAGAATGAAAACAGGAGTGAGAGACAGCTCTATAACTGGGTTTAAGAACAGCTCAGCCATCAACTATATCCTAACCAAGTACTTTTTTATCAAGTTAATTTACGGAGTGAATCCCTCAGGGTCTTCCATGTCTACCACTGCAGCTCATTAGAGTCCAATCTCCAACTTTTCTCACTGTAGCACTGAAAGCATGTGTGCTTAAAATATAATTAAATGGAAAACAAACAAGACCCCGAGTCCCTGACAGTTCTACCATTTTCAAACTGACAAAGGCATGAACTTATATAGGATTATTTAGAAAGCATGATACATTTCAGCCACTTATGGCAAGACATTTGCCCAACTGTTCATCCTGCATGCAATTAGGAATCTAAATACTTGGGCCACGGGCTTCTACTGGGAATTAAACTTGCAGATCTCTTACAAACGAGTAATGTGGCAAGACTTGCTGTCCAATGAGGTGTCTTATTGAAACGTCCCAGGCCGCTGCGCTTGTCACAGCTGTCCTTTCAGCCGCCTGCACTCACAGTGTATAGCTTTCATTACGAAAATAGAAATTTGTGTCCTAAGTGCTGTTACATTACTAATGCTAAATATTTAATTCCCCAGGGTTCCAATTACAGTTGAGCGCTGGCAACACTGATTCTACTTTTTAATAACAACTGTAAAAGCAATTTGAGCATTTTTCAATTAATTAAATACATAGCGAACGAGTAACCTCTTGTCATTTTGCCCTCCAGGACCTGAGCTAATTGGTGTAGAATAAAATGTTTTGAAAATGAACTGATATTCTGGCCTGTGTGCTATTATTCCATTCAGCTACAGTTGCACCATGAAGTTTGTCTTCTGATAGTTACAGTCCTTCAGCATCTGGAGAAAGTACCTGGTTTGCTTCCATTTAGGGCCAAGCTGAAAGTGGAACCCGGAACCCTAGCAGCACGGAGAATATCTGCACCATGTGCAGCTCAGTGTAGGGCTCCAACGCGGGCAGCCCCCCGGCCGCGAGTTTTTACCATCCAGTGTAAACTTTTTGAAAGTAACTCAAAAGAACACCTATCTTTAATTATATTCACACAAAAGCTCGAAACTAAACTTTTAGATTTCTTTTTTTATTTTTCCACAAGAGAAATTTTTAAAATTGAATGCCTGGGAAAGTCCTTCTTCTTGAAATATTTTCTTGCAGTTTCTTGTTTTGCCATAGAACAACATCATAAATAAGCTCCAAATTGATGTCTCAGCTGAGAAGGAGGATCATAAATGAAGATGCCATACTTAGAATGGATCTTTTTCTGAAGAAAGGTGAAATGCAGCTAAGAGGCCGTCTCTAGTTGAGGCTGACAGGTGTTCCTCAGGCTGTGGGTCTTGATTGGCCATAATCTGAAATCCATGCCAGAAAAGCCAATGCCTTCCCAGCAGCTGTCTGTCTAGCAGAGATGATCCCCGAAACAGGTTTCACTGAATTAGGAGTCTCGGCAGAAGCACTGTGACTTGGGGAGGAAGCACTGAAAGTGAAACTAATCACTCTGGGAGAGAGGGAAAAAATAATAGAGAAAATTTAATCATTTCCATACCAATCTTTAGGGTTTAAATCTTTAATATTTCTAAGATTATAGTAACATCTTTGAGAAATGAATCTTAATTACAGGATTAGCATGGTAGTACCAGTCAGTTAATATAAATAGATCAGTCTCAATTGCCAATCTTTTTTAGACTAAAGTGGATAATGAGGGCTTTTTACAATTCTGGGGTTGAGTTGACTTCTCAAGAACTAATGTCAAGATCACTGGAAAATACACATGGTCACACAGAAATGAAAAGAAAAATATCAATCTGTTGAAGGTTTATTGAAGTATTAATTTATATGGACTGTAACATCTTAATAGACTACTGGCTTAATACATTCTATCATTAACAATTCTTTTTTTTTTTTTTTTTTTTTTTTTTTTTTTTGTCTTTTTGAGACAGGACCTCCTGTTCCAGCTGGCCTGGATCTCGCTATGTGGCCTCCACTGAGTGCCAGGATCAAAGGTCCAATCAGCTTTTATCATTAACAATTCTTAAAACAATAGGCCATAGAATATGTAAATAAGGAGCTGTGGGAACACCTAAAGGATCTGCTGCCAATGACTAGAGCAGATCCCCAGGACCCACATGGTGGAAGGAAAGAACTGACTCCTCCAAGTTGTCTTCTGATCTCCACATGCACAGACAGGCGTGCACACAAAGCAAAAAATGTTTAAATCTTGTAAATGATGTAGCAAATCCATATATACAAATTATTATTTGCCAAAAGTACTTATCTTTTCCAGCCCCTCAAAAAACTTTATTTTTAAACTGAAAAGAAAATGTGCACTTTCAACATAAGAGATTCAGATATGGTTTGTACTAAGAAATGTGTTGGGTGTTAGGGATGCAGCTCAGGAGCGTGCTTACCTAGTATGTTTGAGACCCTAAGTTCAAGCCCCAGTACTGAGAAAAAGGAAAGAAAGAAAGGAGTTGGAGTTTATTCCCCCATGCATGCGTTTCTAGTTTTAAGGAATAATAACTGTATTAAGTGACTACTCGTATATGGCTAAGGCTGGGTGTGACAGTAGACACCTATGATCCCAGCACTTAGGAGGCCGGAGGCTCATAGTCGCATTTCGCCATACTTCAGAAAGATTCATTTTAAGTGTGGAATCTCAAACTGAAGGTCAGTCTGGGCTGCACAGACAGATTCTCTCTCAAAACAACAAAGAGACAAATACATGCCCCAAACAAAACTAAACAAAATAATACCTAGCTCTCTAAAAGCATTGGACCATTCTCTACAGTAATAATTAAAGTCACTATATTTAGTATCAATGTCCCCAAGTTATTGCACCCAGTCAGTTGCAGTCAGTCATCAGATCCACACGAGTACTCTTCTGCCTTGTCTCATAGCCAGAGGAGGACGAGACATCTCTTGAGATGACAAGCCCTGGGATCAAGTTCCCCTTCTTCCTTCCCTCAGTGTGACCTGGTACTCCATGTACACAGAGGGCTTAGAAGCCCAATCTACACAGTCAGAACTAGGCCTTACTGGTTACTCACCTAATGCGTACTTAGGAGTAGTAAAGATACCCCACTGGCCTTGAAAGCAGAGGATCTAGGCCCATCAAGGAATGTCAACAGCTAACAGTGGTGTATGACTTGGGGCCGGTCTCTTGATGCTTAGGCTTACTGGTCTTCCAGCTCAGACAGGAGGACAGTTTAAATTCTTCATGTTCTGAAGACTTGACGAGACAAGCCACTGAAGACTCTGGAGGAGCCAAAAAGGAGCAGAACAATGGGGAATCTCCAAATGTTGTGAGGTACTTCACCAGAGGACTTCCAGCAAAAGGTAGATGGAATGTGCAATGCGTCATAATAACATGCACAATAAAAAGGGAGATCAAGAGTCATCACAGGCCTTGCAGGAGCTTTTTTAGAATTAAAGGTTTTAGCTTTAGTCTCAAAAGAGTACAAGCCAAAAGAAGGGATTTCTAAGAGAAGGAAAAGGACGGAATGTGGCTCGGTGGTAAAGCTCGTGCCTAGCATGCACAAGGTCTTCTGTTCCATCACCATCCCCATAAAGACTGAGAAGGGGAACTGACAAGATAGAAAGCATCACTATACAGACACTGTAAACTTTAATGAGATCTGTTTCAAACCTGACTTCCTTATTCTAGAGTGTGTTCAACTGGTCCTCTTAGGTCTGATGCTTAAAGCCCACCCTCCCCTGACTAGAATGGGCCTTGCAGAGCTCTAGAATCTCAAGTATGGGAGGGGAGAAGTCTGGGCAGGTCCTTAACCTGCCAGTGGAGTAGCCAAAATACACAGAACTGCATGTTGGCACTTAAGTCTTCTGGGAAGACTGGGTATTTGCAAGTGACTGTACCATATCAGAGACTCAAGTGCTATTTCCTTAACTTGTTACTCACTGGTCTCCAAGTCCTCAGGAGCCTAAAAGCAGCAGTTTGAAGGGCATATAGAGAACTACAGGCAGGGCCAGAAGAAATAAAGCTGGCAGCAATGGAGGATACAGGACTGGTTTAAGAAGTGTTGAGGAGAACTAAAAACAAACAAAACAAACCCAACAAAACACAATAAGACACCCAGTCCTCCAATGAGGACAGTATTACTATCAGCACTCAGTAAGGCTCCATCCATTGTTTAAGAAAAAGGTAGATAGCCTCTATCTTAGAAATAACTCCAACACAGTTAATGCCAATTCTTAAGACCTGGCTCTCTTGTAAAACCTCCCTGAAGGCTGCAGAATCAGGGTTGTTTTACTGTACTTAGATAGTTCTATGGTTAATGTACTGCGGTGTAAATAAATATAGCTTAGCCTAAGCATCTCCACTGAAAATATGTATGCCATAAAATGACAAATAAAATAGGTCAATAACTAAACCCACAGTAAATAGCTCAAGCAGAACCACGCATAGCATTAGAATGAACTAAGATAAACTAGCCCTCTTCAAAATTGAGGATAAATTATTCACAATGGAATTTTAAAATGAAAAACTAGATGTCCAGGGTAAGCAGTGAGAAGAAATGTATGAACTTGTGAACTTACACACACTAAAGTGAGAAGCTTTAGGAAAACAAACAGCTTGCACATTTGTGTGATGGCCAACTAATAATCCACACTATTCTAGTTTAATTTTCCATTATAAAGACAAAGTAGGGGCTCAATAAATTGTCCCTGAGCAGAAATGCAATTTACAAGTTGCTTAAATGCAAGATATGTAAATATATCAGGCTTATCATCAACTTTCTTAGAGGATGTTTTAGAGATTGAAAACATGAAGCAAGGAAAAATAAGTATCTGAAATTTAAACCCACTGAAGTTTCTACTGCACACATTGATTGCGGCATGTGTGGAGGCAAAGGCTCCTGGGCAATTCCCTGTTGTGTTTTCACAGTCGCTGATCTGAAGACACCCAGAAGAGCACCAGGAGATGATGAGGCAAAGTCACTGGAGCCCCAGTTTGCAGCCCCCACTGCGTCCATGCTATGTGGTCCCATTTAGTCAGGCTGACAAAGGATGTCCTGATTTGTAGCTTTGGAGACATGGCATCAAGGTGACCTCCATGGAGCCTTCTGGAGGCACAGGAGGCAGCAAATGGTCATACATATCACAAACAAGCCTCCTTCATTGCCTTCCCTGGTAGCACTCAGGTCAGGGCTTACATGGTTTGGTTTGGCTCTTTTGGGTTTTAATACACATGGTACTATAGTCTGCATCTGAAATGTCCTCAAAGGCCCCTGGGGAAAGGCTTGATTCTCTACCGTAGTACTAGAAGCAAAGGACCCTGAGAGAGATGGGGCCTGGTGAGAGGTCTGAGGTCATCAGATACGTGCCCTTCAGGGGAATACTGGTACCCCAGCTCCATCCTCTTTCTCTTTTCATGTCCTGGGTTTGAGGTGAGAACTCCTGCTCTACCATGTGCTTCCACCATGATGTATTGCCTTGCCACAAGCCCCACAGCAATAGGGCCAATAGATCACAGACTGAAACCTCCAAAACTGTGAGCCAAAATCTTTTCTCTGTATTTCTTCATTATCTCTGTTATTTATTATAGTAAGTGGAAGCTAACAAACACAGCTATTCAGTTTGGGCATTCAGTAGAATGTGTCACTGAAGGGATCAGCATGTTCACCTTTAATGGGTACTGGCTTAATTTATATTTTTCTGTACCACCTGCTGCTCACAAGCTCAAAAGCATTCATAACTTTTGTCTTTGATTTTCTTTCTTTTAGGGGGGTGGGGAGGCCTGAGGCTTGCTATGTAGACCAGGCTGGCCTGGATCTCATTCAGATCTGCCTGCTTCTGCCTCTCCAAGTGTTGGGATTAAAGGTGTATGCCACCACTCCTGGCAACCTTTGCTTTTGAATGGGCTGTGGATCATGGCTTAATCACCTCACCATGGACATGGTCATCACCTTGGTTCATGACCAGCTAAACTCTACTCTCCAGGTTTAAAATTCACACAGATCATCATGGTACACTTAAAAATAAAAAGGAAAACAGGAAGACATTAAGAGATGGGTGATTTTGCCAAGAAAGGGTGAGGGGAAGAAGGGCATTGTGAATGGAAGAGGCGAGACTCTCAGGTGTAGAGGCAGTCATTGTGTCAACTCTAGGATACCCCAGGGAGGGGGGCCAAATTAAAAGGTAAGGGAGGGGCTATGAATGAAGCTGAGAAGTAAGGGCAGGAAGGTGTCTCTGAAGGATTAAGTCAGTGCATGGTGACAGAATCTCATTTTAGGATGATCCCTCTGATAGCAAGGTAAGACGATAGGAATGGGTGATTTGTGCTCTCCCCACCAAGCCCACTCTGAAAACCCTCAACTCTCCTTCCCTGAGCATCCAGAGTATGACTGTGCCCAGACTCTTAAGTACCTCTGTGACAACTTCAAGGATGAGTTGTTTTATCCAAAATCCTCATGTTCTTGACTCTCTCCTGGTCCCATGCTCACCATCTGTGGAACGGATCAACTCTTTGTGTCCTCTGTTTTGTCTTGAAGTTTTAATCTGGAGTGTTAGACAATTTTCTGTCACTGTAACAAGATCCCAAAGAAAGAGACTTACAAGGAGGAAAGGCTTATTTTGGCTCAGAGTTCTAAAGTGTTCAGTTGGCTCCAGGGGGTTGGACCTATGATTGGGTAACACATTCTCAGCAAGAGGGCATAATAAAAAGAAATCTCTTATATCACAAGTCAGGGAATGAAGAGGAAGAGAACAGAGTCCCACATCTCTTTTGAGTCAAGCCACCAATGACCTATGGGTCTTCCCTAGGCTTTGCCCCCCTCCCCAATTCCCTGGGGACCACGCTAGTACTGAGGTCTTGAGGAACATCTAGAATCCAAAGTACAGCAGCTGTGGAGAGAGAAATTCATACATCACAGAATCACAAACTAGGGTATTGGGGCAATGTCAAATTATAAGCCACTTTGATTTGGTTTTGATGACAAGTTGACAAAATTGTGCAAAAGTTTTCAGCCTGGCATAAAAGGGTTCAAAAGTGCCCCTACGAAATAAAGACTGAACAAACTGAAGAGTCAATGACTTCTTACAAATCTGAAGTGAGAGGGAAAAATGCTATGCCCCAAATTAGAATGACAGAGAGGCAGACACAGAGAATGACTAATCATAGCAGGGACCTCTGTGGAAACAAGACCAGAACTGTACATTACTAGCTTCTGGAGATTTGTGTGTAAATACGACAAGGAAGAACTCAGGGAAACCAGGCAGCCAGAGCCCCACACTGTTACGGTTTCCCTCCTGGAGGTTCTCCAGGTTACCAGAGTGAATACTGGAGATACATCTTCCTTAGGCTTCTGGCAGGGGATGGGAAGGATATCACTGTGAAACACAGCAAGACATTCTATTCCATTCTGTTCCTACTAACAAGATCTGCCCAGCAGAACTACGGAACTAAGTCTAACCTGCAGGGTTCCATCAGTCACAGCCCAGATGACACAAAATCAGGTTCCTCTGAGCTTCCAAAACACCAAGCTCTGGCTTACCTGATCATCCTGCCCCACCTAGGAGGCTAGCAGAAGATACAGAAATAAAATATGAATACAATAATGACCAAGAATTTCCCCCAAATGAACATGAGACACCAAACCATGTATCCAAGAAGCTCAGCGAATACCCAGTAGGACAAATGCTGAGCAAAGAAACTATCTACACCAAGACCCATCACGCTCAAAAACAGAAGATCAAGGGAAAACAAATGGAAAGAAGCCAGATAGAAAGATCTGACCCAAACGGCAAAGGTAAGAATTATGTCTAACTTTTCCTCAGAGACTGTAAATGCTGAGAGTTTAGTAGAACATTTAAAGTGCCGAGAGTAAAAACTGCACAATTAGGAATTCAACACTCTGCAAAATTATCCTTCAAAATTAAAGGAGAAATAAAATGGTTCTCAGACAGAAAATGAGGGAATATGTTGTCAACCCAAGACCTGCTCTGAAATGTTCAAAGAGGCAGGGCATGGTGGAATATGTTGTCAACCCAAGACCTGCTCTGAAATGTTCAAAGAGGCAGGGCATGGTGGCACACACACTAAATTCCAACACTTAACAGGCAGAGGCTGTCGGGGTTCTCTGTCTTCAAGGCTAGCCTAGTCCACTGCAGGCCAGCCTGAGGTATATAGTGAGGATCTGTCTCTAAAGACAACAGTTAACAGAAATTCTTTAGAGAACAAGGAAAATTGTGTAGGTCAAAAAGTTGGGTCTACATTAAAAAAAAAAAAAAAGAAGAACATCAAAAGGAGTAAATGAATGTAAAATTAAAAGTTCGACTTAACTGCTATGATACATAGCACTGTCAGAACAGTGATCTGATAGCTGGGTTGCTGGGGCAGAGGTGTGCTATGAATTATGACGACACAAGGAAGGCAGAAGAGGTGGCTACGGTGGAGACAGAGGAGGCCAGTTGAAGTCTCACACCTGCTTGCAGGCAATGGAGAGTGTTGAGGTGGAGGGCAGTGTGTCAGGGTAACCATCCTGCGGGTAGGTACACAAAAGGAGGTGTCCAGCAAAAGTGACAGAGCCAGATCCAAGATGGAGCCTGGCAGCAACAGCAGAAGCCAGGGACACTGCCACACTAGAACACCAGGTGGCACAGGATCTGTGACAGGCTTGTGCAGACAGCATCCCAGAAGTGCAGTGGCTAAGGAGGCAACATTCCCAGTGGTATACGAGGCAGATCTAAAGAGGCTAAGGGAAAAAGTGCACAGAGAGAAAGTATTTTAAGACATAAAAGGGAAGAAATTAGGAGCAAGCAGGAGGAGGAAACAAGCGACTGGCTGATGAGGAAGGGCGCCTGTTCCTATGAGGAGTGAATGACAGGTAAGACCGGTTCAGAAGACACAAAGAATATATCATGATTTGCTTAGAATGCTTCATTTGGTTTTACAACTTGAAGTCTGCATTAGTTCAGCTTCCTAGTGGGCTTCAAGGTTTTCAAAATGACAATCTGAAGGCAGTAGCCAAGGGCTCCCCCTTCCTTCTGACTCTAAAGCCCAAGAGTCCAATCTCTTTCTGTTTTGGTCTTCATCCTTTTGAGACAACAGGCCACACACCTCCTTCTCCCTCATCCTCTCAGGAACAAACAGCATCTCCTGCCTCTCTCTGGTCCTGTTCCCTGCTTGGTCCTCCTTGAGCGAGACAGGCCAGCACGGGTCCTCTGGTCCCATCTCTGATCTTGCCAGTGTCCTCTGCAGGTGAGGGCTCATCTCATGGGGCTTCAGAGTCCTCAATCACTCTCACTGTACAGGTTAATCAGATAAGCAGATGAAGGTGAGTGCTAAAAGGAACTACCTCCAGGGCTTACAGCCCACCCACTTCACTAGTGCCTCAGGAGGAAAGGACCCTGGCTACTGTGGCCAGCACACTACAGCCATGCCTGGCACCCAGGACCTAGTAGGTGCTGAATGAGATGAGCAGCAGACCATTCCAGGAAACAGCCAGACAACACTCCATCAAAACCAGAATGACCCAAGCATGGTGGCACACATCTATGATCCCAACACCAGGGAGACAGAGGCAAGAGGACTGCCAGATCTAGGCCAATCTGGTTTCTTATATAATTGAAATTCCTATACTTATTTAAATATTCTCTTTCCTTCCCTCACATACTTCTGAATCCCAATAATGGCCAATATTAGACAGACTGTCTCAAGACCTGTTTTACGTAGGACCATTACATCTCTATGAAATCACACACACACACACACACACACACAAATAAAAATACACACAGGAAGGAAAACACAAACACACATACACAAAATACAAAATGCATATATGTATTCACATACAAATACATATATAGTGATGCCACAAACATACATATACACACACAAATACACAGACACAACCCCCCACACTAACAAATGAAAGAAAATACGTTTCCTGAAAAATCTGCCCTTCACCAGGAAAGAAAAGCGTACCAATACGAAAAACAAATGAAAATCCCAGAGCCTTCCACCAGAACCTCAAAACCAACTTGGGCCTTGTCCCTCCTGGGCTCCTTCTCAAAGTGTGACCACTGTGACCTTGCTGCCAGCTCTCTGGCTGCCCTTTACCACGTGCTATTCCTCTGCTCTCCAAGGTAGTCAGGCCCAAAGTTCTTCTTTCTGGCATATGGGCGTCTCAAAAACTTCTAAATCTCTTTGCATGCTGGGAACTCAAACAGCTGCTAACCCTAGGCCAGGCATGGTGGTGCACACCTTTAATTCCAGTACTCAGGAAGCACAGACAGGCAGATCTCAGTGAGTTTCAGGCCAGTAGGGACTACATGAGACTCTCTTTCAAAACAAAACAAGACGAAAGAACAAAACTAAACACAAAATTCCCCCGACAAACAAGCCAAACAAACAAAACAAACAAATGAAACCCTGTTCATCTCTTGCTTCCATAACCCCTTAGGAAGTCCTAACTGGCCGGCTGGCTGCAGTGACACGGTGAGTACTTCACTAGTGCTCCTGAGGCCCCAGCTCCATCCCTAGCACTGCAGGAAAAATAAGTTACCAGAACAAAAAGAAAGGGAGAGAGAGAGGGAAGGAAGGAGTAAGAGATGGAGGGAAGGGAAGGAAGAAGGAAGGAAGGGAGACAGGGAGGGAGGGAAGAAGGGAGCGAAATCCTAAGTGGCTTCTCAGCACCCAGCTTGCTGCAGCCATGCCAGCCTCCAGCGCATTCCCCATGCTAAGGCCAAAGTGACACCTTTAAACCACAGACCTGGTCACGTAAATATGTGAAGCCTTAAGGGCTGCCAGCTGGTAACATGAAGCCCAGAGTGCTTAGCCAGTCACATCCAAGCCTTCTGGGCCTGGCCAGCCTGCTCTCTGTCTACACATGCTCCTATGCTCTACCCAGACTGAACTTCTCTAGGATTCTCCTGTCTTTGGTACTTGCTCCCCTTGTCAGGAGCCTGCTTTCGCTCAGCCCAATGATCCAGAATCTCCCAGAAGCCTTCCTGGATCTATCCCTCTCTCCTTCTCCATGGGTTTGACTGAGAACTGTGTCCCTGTGCTCTTGTGCTCCTGGACACCTGGTCTTGCATCATGTCAAGGCTAAAATGCAGCCTTGTCTCCCTAGGTGACACTAAGCTGGGGTTCTACAGGGCCAAAGACAGCCTGCTATCACCAATTTACCTCCTTAGCCTCATAGCTGCTTTGTGGAGTTAGGAAAGAGGCCCAGGTTTCCCTGAATTACCATAACGTAAAGCACAGCAGAAATTCAGTCTGAGACAACACACTGATGCTTGGGAAGAAGTCACTTCACCTTCCTGGGCCTCAGTTTCCTCATCTGAAAAACAAATCACCTTTAGAAGCCAGCCAGTGTAAATAGCCTCCTAGTTCTATGACCTGAGTGTGAAAGAATTTTGAAGACTGCTGGGGAAAACGAACTGGCTACTAGTGTTCCAGCTAAGCGTCAGTACATCTGTACATCAAGTTTGAAGATGCTAAGTTGGGTTAAAAGACTTCGGCACTAAGATACTCTGAAACCATCTTGTAAACAAATACACACACATATGGCCTGGTAGTTTAAAAGAATATGCAGAGAGCATAACAATCTTTACAGTCAGAAATTTTCATGATGACTAATCTGTGACTTACAGTATTTGTGATAAAAAATATCTAAAATTGCACTGTTTACCTTCAGTTTTTAACTAGTATATATATTAACAGAATGACAAGATGACACCCCATCTTGTGGCAGTCTGTACTTGGAAGTTTTAAGTCTCTGGCTTCATGCAGCCTTTTCATAAAACAATTCATTTTGACCTCGTGGGCAAGGCCATATGGTTGAATCAATATTATTACTAAATATAACATCCTGAGTATCTTAATTTTAATGTCTTTTATAACCACACTGATTAAGGCTGTGACTCATATAAATTTAAAGAAACTCAGCCAGTCTTGATGACATAGACCTATAATATCAGATACTCAAGAGGTAGAGGCAGGATTGCAAACTCCAGGGTTAGCCTGGGCAAATTAGTGAGACTCTGCCTCAAAACATAAAGTAAAAAAAAAAAAAACTGGATGTGGTAGCACACACCTTTAATCCCAGTACTCAGGAGGCAGATGCAGGTGGATCTCTGGGAGTTGGAGGCCAGCCTGGTCTACATATCTAGTTCTAGGCCAGGTGGACCCTGATCACAAAAAAAGAATAAACAAAATAGAACAATAAAAATAAATAAATAAAAAGTAAAGAGAGATGGGAATATAGCCTAGCATGTGCAAGACACTGGGTTCAATCCCTACTAAGGGGTGGGTGGCTTTTCCAAATTCACTTACGGGGCTTATACCATATCAAAGCTCCTAAGATTGGACAGATGTTTACCAAAGGCTCTTAGCATTCTCTTACAATGCTGTACTTAAATATGCACACTTGCTTTTTCTTCACTTGCTCAAATTTCTAGGCAAAGCTATTTGATTTGTATACAATCTTATGCAAGTAGTCTTTAAGCACCTTTTTATCTATATGTGATCTTAGTTTTAATTTTGAAGCTCTTCTAAAAGAGCTTTAAGTTCTTTTGTGGTTTTAAGTCTATTATAAACTAAAATTTGAAAAGCAGTATAGTCTTATAGATTTGGTATTTAAGACACAGAAAGTACAAAGGATTCCTTAGCAAATATAAAAGAAGGAAAATCAATGGAGCCTCCTAACCCTGAAGGATTCTTCCAAGAGTCAGGTTTATGATGAAAAACATCTATGTGATTTGTGCTCAGACCCACATATTCACTTATTGTGGTGCTGGGGTAGAACTCCAGGCCTCACATGTGCTGGGTAAAGATCTACTATAGAGCTCCACCTCCAGCTCGCAAATCTGCACACATAAATTCAAGTGTTACCCTTTTAGAGAAGGGTAACTTCTGGTGAGTTCAGAAAAGCATAGAGAACTGTTAAATAGATTTCTGGGCAAGGGCAGACCCTTTGATGCCTCAAGGAATCCTGGCCAGACTGGATTGATCCCACTCCACTTACCTGCAATGGTGCTCCAGCTTGCATCCCCCTTTATAGCTGCTCTCCTCCAAGTCACATGAAGCTCCTTCAGAACACATCGGTCTCTTTCTGTGGGGCTGCTTCGTCACCTTCATCAGTACTAGTGTCTCTCTCAAATTTTGGGTTTCTAATAATGCATCATCTTGTGGGTTCCTGTTTCTTTTGACATTTCTCCTGTCTGCACTCTCAATCCAGGAGCTATGATAATCAACGAGGGAGCAGGAGGATGCAATGACTTCTTTGCTGTTAGGGTCCCAGTGTCTGAAACTGCTACTGCAGTGGATAAATACTCTAGTGCCTTCTTCACAAATCAATGACTGTACTGGCATCTAAAGATTCTGTGTATGCATCTCATCTTTTATCTGTGTCATTTTTAAAAACAAGGAATATTACCCTATTCCTTTTCATTACTATGGCCATGACCACAGTGGGTTAAAGATAAAACCTTTAAAAGACTGGCGTATACTGAGTCTTGCTCTTCACTCAAAAAAGTTAAAAAGGATCACTGGAACCAGTTAACTACATAAAATGCTTCTTAAGAAGACAAAGATTAGTGTCACATAGTTACATGTCACATAAGAGTTTTAATGTCAATATAAATGATAGCAAATTAATATAAAAATGACTCCAAGTCTTCCCCAAACATCGCACATGGCTTTTGCACCATGTCTCAGTAAGTGTAATACAACTCAGTATAATTCCCTCAGGGGCTTGGTCGGCATTGACTATTTCTTCCACTAAGCATTGTGTAAAGTAGAGTCATTTTAAAGGAACATGTAGCAGAAAAGAATTGCTTTTTGTTTTTTTTAGTTCTTTCTTTTTTTATTAAAAGTTTTATTTACTTTTATTATTTTTTTATGTGTATGAGTATTTTGCCTGTATGTATGTGTATGTAATGCCCAAAGAAGTCAGAAGAGGGCATCAGATCCCCTGGAAATGGAGTTATGGATGGTCATTACCTGCCATGTGGGTGCTGGGAACAGAACCCAGGTCCTGTGTAAGAGCGGTCAGTGCTGTTAGCCACTAAGCCATCTCTCTAGCCCGGGTTCTTTCTCTTTTTAACTAAGTGCATGCAGCTACATTAAAAGAGCATTTTCTGCAACATCACAGAAATTCCACCATGCAGGCTACCTTACAAGTATAACCGCAGGTGAGATGGAGTGGCCAAAGTGGGAGTCCATGGACTCAGAAGCCACAGTGCATCCTTGATGCCAAGTTTTTGGAAAACTGCCCCAAATTTCTCCAAGTAACTTCAATGTGGCAGTCTCAACTCTATAGCCTGCTATGTGTGTCTACCTATATTTCCATAAACAGGGATTGTTTACCAAGAAAATATTATTTAAAAAGCATTTTTTTTTAAGTTAGAACAAAACCGAGTCTCTAAAACAATGTTTTCTTATATTTGGCTACAAGTAATTTAAGATAGTCTAAACATTTTAAAGTCATTAACAAATGAGTTAATATAAAAATCCCACAGAAATGTAGACATTCTCTTTGCCTTATTCCATCTCCCAAAAATCAATTACAGTCTGAAAAAGAAATCATCTACAGAATACAGTGCAATCCACAATTTCACCACTGGCCATTCATCCAGGAAAATGAAACTTATATTCACACAGAACTGCAGTTTTATTTGTACTAGTCAAAACCCAGAACCAACTCTCAAATCCCAACCATGAAGGGTTAAACTGTGGTAATCCTACGCCATGGACTGGTACTCAACCAAAAACACCAATGACCAAGCAAACAACAAAAACAATAAAAAAGACACACACAAGCTGAACCCCCATAAAACAAGCCCACCCCAAAGGTTACCTGCTTTAATTCCATAGACATCATCATAGAAATGGAGGACAGATGAGTAGTTGCTGGGACTGGGGAGGTGGGAAGTAGGTATGGCCATAAGAGGGTAAGATAAGGCCTTTGTGGTGAGGGACATGAGCCATATCCTGATTGCTCAACATCATCATCTAGGCTGTGACATTAAATACTGTTTCAGGATATTACTATTGGGAAAAACTGGGTACAGAGCTCAAGGGCCTCTCTATTTTTTGTGTAACTGAAAATGAATCTACAATTATCTCAAAATACAAAGTTTAATTAAAATAAAAACTAAGAAGGAAAACATTCTAACTACTGAATTCACAATGCAACACTGGGGGCTAAGCTTCAGAAATCACCCCAGCACTTTTTAACAATGAAGGAGGTGAATGAAGTGCTAGCTGGGCCACTCACACAAAACCCACAGCAATTTCTACACGTCAGGCATCTCAAGCCTCCTGGTTCCCTGCCTAGGGGTCATCTCTGTCTAGACACACACCATCTTGGTTCCCATCACAAGGGCTGGAGACCTCCTCTGTAGACTAATCCTTCCCTTTCCTACTGAAGCTATAGGACTCCAACTCTGATAACGAATTCCCCAATGGCAAGGGAGTTGGTTACTGCTATCCAAAGGGAGAAGGGATGCAAGCCTTCTTTAAATAAATCTGATGTTCTTACATACAATGAATGCTTTGCCAGGTGAGGCATTTTTTTCTAGAATCTGAATCGCACTAATAGACATGTCAGGAGGAAATGTTCTATTCCAGGGGGACTAATACAGAGAATTAAATACATATAAAGAGATACTTGTCATCTTTTTTCTCCCATAAGAATAACAGAGGCACATTAGAAAGGGATTTAAAACCTACCTAATGATATCTGATTGCTTGAAGAATCACAATGGCAAAAGGCTTTTTAAACTTTTTTTTCAAGCATCAATACTCATTCAATCCAACATAGACATTTTAGAAAAAGAATTAACATACAGTTTATTCTTTGATTAAAGCAGAAAACATGTAGCAATCCTCTATATCATTAAGCATTTTCAACAAAACTAGTGATCAGGAAGAGCGTAACCTTCTGCATGCAACTGAGGGTTTTAACTAGAGGAATACCATAGTCCATAAATAGCACCATCCAAAGTTCGCCGAAATCACTGCGGCACTTCATTCTCTATATCCTTTGCATCTAGAATGAAACAGGTCTCGGGAAATCTCACACACCAACCGCTGAATCTAAAAAATAAAAAAATCCATTTATTTGTTATGATCACGGTCAGTCCTTAATATCTTATACGCCACTGATTACACTTAACTTGGCCACGCCACTTCATGCTTGGGAGAAGACAAACCACTAATCAATTATGGACACTAATTGAAAATGCTACCTTTCGGAGGCATTTTAATAACTTAGTAATGAGGTGAAGTGTTCCCTCTAACTGCTACTTTAAAATGTTTTCGATTACAAAAATGTCAGCCAGGGTGCATGTAGCCTTTGCAAACACTTGAAGCTGCAGTCTAAATGACTGAACTAGCCCCTGAAAGGGGTGTACAATTCTGCAAGTGGTTGAGGTCACATGGAAAATAGAATTATATGCTAATTTGTTCCTATATTAAGTTATCATAGAAGGTCAGATGAAACACGGTAAAGTGAATTCTGGAAAAAAAATTAACTGAGGAGATTAGTATGTACTATATCAAAGTAAATTGTTTATCTTAATAGATACAAATAAGAAGGATTTGAAAGCAGGGGTCTTTTCTCCTTTACCAAATGTTTTAACTAATTCTATGTATTCAAATGCATAATTTAAAAATATTTTCTATAAATAGTTTTTCCCTAAAGGAGAACTGGGGCAGGACAATGTTTTTTAAGGACAGAAAAGAAAGAGAGAGGGCATAATATTCAAGGGAATAATTTTCTCAAAAGTTTCACTTTACCTACATATTTCTTGAATTCACATAGATAAACTAGTTACATGTACTTCAAAATGAACACAAATGCAAATTAAATGATGGGGTCATGAGGTGCTCACTATAATACTTTGCTTATTTTACTTCCCAATGAACTATATGACAATATAGATGTTTTGCTTAATATACATTTGTCTGAAGAAAGGATACTTTATTTAAAAATCTATTGAGGAAAAAAATCTGTATTTTTTTTTCTTGGAAGCTTTAAGTAATTCTGTGACTTCTAAAAACCATAAAGCAGTAAGTGGCTGAAGGCTGCGGGCTACCAGTTCCATATATTGCAGTGTTGTGCCCTTCGTATCTCTGTATTTCTGAAGTACCTTTAAAGGAAGACAGAAAGAACTTGGGGGCAGGTGATGGCAGGGGAATGAACTCATACAGAGAGACAGCATTTCACAAGGCACCCAAGTTCACTGCAGGACATAACAAGGACAAGTGACAGAGGTTGCCTACACAACACCTTAGGCAAATTCTTGGGGAGAAATGCAAAGCAATAATACTGTGTCCTCAAGCTTATCCTTTTTTCCATTAAGAGATACTTATTTGCACTTTCAATTTCATCTCTGTATTACCAAGGCCGTGTTACCAGGGGTCACAGAGTCATCTGAACTTCCTTAAATCAACCCATTTTTAATTTCTAAAGGGATTTTACCTATTGATTTTAATGATTTTATTAGCTACTATAAAATTAGATGCCCATGAAATATCAGTTTGACATCTCCTTTGAATACTTCCTTTCCTATTAAATGTTACCAACCTAATTTACTGCACTTTCTCCTTACCAAGTTAGAGATGGAGATAACAAGTCAGACCTAAATTTTTTTTACACAACTTGATATATAAACACACAAATATCTATGTCTTCCTATCATTCTTGTTTGAGGGATTCTATGTATTGAGATCTTAATCCATAAAAAGTCAAAGATTACATAAAAGAAGTGAACAAATCTGAAAAAATGAAGATCTGCAATGATGACAAAGAATCAGTACTCGGTGAATTCATCTTCATTCCCAGAGAAAGCAACCTGGAGTGATCAGACACCAAGAGTTGGTTCACCATAAATACAGCACACTAAATACAAAAATCCACGTAGAATCTCTTAATATAATTACAATGTCATTTACAGATGGCTGCATGTATAGCTACATTTTAATGTTGATATTAAAAATATTAAGCCAGTCAAAGATGACACCCAACAAATCAGTGGTTAGTCTATGTCTAAAATGAAGACTCAAGATGTGAGGAGAGCCACTAAAACCAAAGGCACAGCACTTAGACCCCAGTTATCACAAGCAACACCATCTTTCTGGATGGGCAGCTTATAAAAACTGCATTTCCCTAGCTAGCTGAAAAGAATGAAAAGCTTCTTACAACCAGCTAAAAAGAAAGCCTTTACCATGCGCCTTGAAAAAGCTCATTTTCACATTACTCAGGCTTCATTATGCTAAATCAATATTCGTTTAGTCACTGGGGTTATTGACATATTTTAAAATAAAAGTATACCCTTCAGCTACTGCACTCATTACAGGTAATTTGTCTTGTCAGAGAGCAGGGAATATTATCCTAGTCTTTCAGGGGCTGACAGCCCATGGAAATACCTCCCCATGGTTACAACTGTAAATAATTTTAAGGTAAAATATTGAAAAATCAATGACTGTTTCCTGCAATCTGTCACAAACAAATCAATCATAATCTCCACTGCCAGCGAGTATGATTTGAAGGAGATGGGAGCAGATGTAATTCTTGGCTGGAATCTCTCATTTCAAAATCACTTCACATAATGGTGTCATCATTTAAACACTTAACAGTCAGTGCAAACTGCCACTGTAACATTGAGTCAGACAAAACCACCACCAGGAGGAGGAGAAAATGCCATCACTATTATGTTAACAAACATTTAATTTAAATGGTTGGTGCATTAGTAAATTTCCGCTGTGAATGGTTTTACCTGCCCCTTTCACAGCTCAAAATTAATCAAGGCTGCTTTTCCGTGTCTTGACACGTAGGAAGTTAGTCCACAACTCCAACTGTGCTCTCTAAAGCACATGTGCCTTTTATTCTAAAAGCCCATTATAGAGAACAAAATCTTGAATTAACAAATAAGATATTTGGGTTGCAGAATAGTCCATAATTCTATCTGCATAACAATGATAAAAAACAGTGTCAAAGAAATCAAGATTATACTTTTGTGACTTAAAAAGTAGGTAAAAGCTCTCAGATGCCCCAATGTTGAATTTTACACTTCCTGTCTATTAATAAACACCACATTTCAACTTTGTAATATTGTAGCATAATATAAGATGACCAGTAAGACCCAGTCAACTTGAACATTTCCCCGCACTCCAAACAAACTGTACCACAGACTGCCAAATTAAAAGCTGAAGTAATAATAAGCCAACCATGCCAAGTATGAAAGTTGCTCGTGGTCACAATACTGAATCATTGAACAAATGTAAACTCTTTTCCAAATAATCATTTTGATATTGGCATTTCTGGACTACATTTTACTGGTTTCCTCCGCTGCTGACATGGTGTGCGGACTTGAGGGAGAGTCTGAAACGATGCAGCTCTTTTTCTCTCAGGGCCAGCCCAGAATACTATTTGAGGAAAAGATGCTGGAGTCTTTTCTAAAGGTTTGTATTTTCAAATGTGCACCAGGGCCTATAAGGGAAGAAATCAATTTAAGCTATCACATTTCTTACCAATTGCCTAATTATATAATTAGACACCATAAAGCCTTTTACTGTTTTTATTAATAGTCCTCACTAGATATAGGTCAAGGGGCAGATACTTTTTGATGACGAGAAAATTTCTGTATGTTGTTTTTCTTAAAAAGAAAAACAAACACATATAAATAGTATGATAAGGTTAAAGTCTGTGTAAACATTTTTAGACAAAGTAATTGCTCTTCTGCACGGACTGATTTAGAACTGAACCTGCTTGTCAACATAGCAACACAGAGTCAGACGACAGAGCCTCTCCTGAAGATACAGATGGAGCCCAATGTTGTTCTCTGGGCATCTTAGAATTCAATGCCAGCAGTAGGTTTGAAGATGAAAAAGCACACCGGTAAATTATCAAAGCCGCCACCCAGAATGCTGCACAGCCCTGCATTCCATGCGAGTTCCTGCAACAGCTGCAGAGCAGGCAGCAGCCAACCCCGTGCTTGAGAAGGGAAAGGATGAGTCCTGGTGTGGATGTCAGAAAAGTCCAAGAGCTGGGGCTGGAAGCAGGCAAAGAGCCATGGTTCACTCGCTCCAGCCTAGGCCCAGCCAGCCTCTTGTAGGGGCTCTGGATCCCAGCTCCAGCCTGTCCTCACCAGAGCCAAGCTGCCGCTGGTGGTGTCACCCTGGAGAACAAACCCCAGGTGAATGTAACAAAGGAGAGGAGGTAAATGAGGACAGCTGGACAACAGGCTGAGCACATGTCAACCCCAAACTGAAATGTCATCTGCTAGAGCTGTGCAGAACACCATCGCAGATCTAATTCGCAGAAAGGGGCTATTTTAAGGGTGCTGAGTAGGCCGAAATGCTATTTCTCAGCCCTCCCAACAGAGCCCATGGCCCTGGGAGAAGCAGGCTTGGAAAGTTAGCAAAGGAAAGCATAGTTCCCACAGCCCAAATGTAAAGAAACTGCTGTCTACTGGACCAAGTTCTCATATGTAAAGGTGGGGGATCACAGAGAAAAGTGTTCTTGGAAAGAGAAATTATTACCTCCCTGTCTGCCGAATCTCCTTCCATCAGAGAGCACCATGATCCACTATGAACTGTGGTTCTTAAAGAGAAAACAGTCACAGTGAGCTTCATCCCTTTTACTACTTCCTTCCTTCATGGAATTACAATTTAATTACAGAGTCTTCCATTGATTTTATTCCTGGATGGTGCATTTCTCAAAAAGCATAGTCTTCAGCTATTTCCACTAGAGAACATTTACTACAACCTTCTCAATTAATCAGCCCTAACCCACTACTACAGAAAAGATGGTGCTTCCTATTTTTTATTGCCCCCCTCCACATCTATTTCATATAAGAGGAAGAGTTTTGATGCATTTGAATACCTCTAATGAAACATAAATCTGGCTCATAACAGATGTGAAAGTTGACAAATATACACGTTTAGATTTGTCTTCTATTTTTATTCATACATGTACATATGATTATCCTTAGGTGGGAAAAAAAAAAGTCAAAACCAATCCTCTATCAACAACTCTATTACGGTTTAAAAGCAAAACAAAACCCTAAGCTGAAAGGTAAACAAAGAATCAGATTTCTGGCTGTTTAACATTTTCTTTACGTTTGTGCTGTTATGTTTCTAGCTTGCTTTGTATGTTCTAATAAGTAATGAGAATGCAGGTCTATTATTTACAAACAATTAAATAGTTTTTCATATCACAGTCAAGACTACTTTAATGCCTGTGGTCATATTCACAGACAAGAATTTGTCCTATTGAAGGCTAAACTAAGTAGGGTGCCTTCTGTAAAGTTAGGTCTTTTTTTTTTTTGGTTATATAACCATCTTTATTAATAAAATGTTCTGAATAAAATGTTCCATTAGATGACATATTCTACAAAATAATTATTTCCCATAACTTTTCTTATCCACCTATTCAGGTGGATAATAAATGATGTTTTTCACTCGCTGTATATACTCTGTCATTAAGACATCTATGACTGGAGTCTGTGCTAAATTTATTCTTAGAAAAACCAGATCACTAAAGTAATCCCCAAATGTGATTTGGTATAAATAGATTGTTTCCTTTAATAATAATTCTATTTCTTATAATTACAACCTTGGTCTTAATTTTAATGAAAAAACACTTTATAAATTTCACTATCCCAATGGTATCATTCAAATAAATTATCCAATGTAATTCCAAGATAAAAAATAAATAAAATAAATTATTCGGCCACTCAACAAATCAACAATTCTTAAATGCACCGCACCTCTGTTTAGTGCATTAGCAGATTTTTAATAATGAAGGTCTCAGGTGGCATTCTCCAGGTCTGTACTTAGCCTCTATTACTAACACACATACTTCGGTGAAGTCACCTTGGTGATCTTTTGGGCTGCCTCACACGCAGGCACACCCATGGCATGCAGATCTTGGCATGTGCAAGGGAAAATTTCAGGGAACAGGTGAAGAAAACCCCTAGTTTGGAAGTAAACTTAGCTGAAAATATCCAAACGTACCACAGAAGCATTGTATTTATCACCTGTACAGGAAATGGAAATGATTCAGTTTAAGGAAACACAGAAGACTAGCAATACTTTGGGGATATTAGATATGAACATCTAATCTAATTTTCTCCAAGGTATCACTCCAGATTATGGTAAATAAACAAATAAGAGCTGTATCAAGGCATGGAATATCATTAGCTCGAGGAAAGGCTGGAAAAATGGATTACACAAATGACAACTGCAGGAGAAAATTATATTCTCCTCTCCTGAACAAATGTTAAGTGCATCCTCACTAATAAAGACTTAAACTCAAACTACATTACAATATACTGGTTTTCAATTTTGAAGCATCTAAGTTAATTTGCCAAGCTAAATTGTTGCTTAGGTATACTAGAGCTATGAGAACACTGCCAATTTATGCAGAAATAAGTCATCAGTATCACACTTCAGATGAGAGCTGTAAAAGAAAGCCAGTCATTACTGAACAAGGAAAAAAATCATCTCTAGGTTTTACATGTTCCTAGAGATGCACAAGCTGCTATTCTGTAAAGAAAAAATATTCCCTGCCAAAGAGCTAACAAATAAACCAAAAAGAGGTTGAAAATACAGAAGCCAACACAAGGTAGAAATTGAGAAATTGTAAATGCAGAGACGGACTACCAGCAAAACAGGTGCTGCTAGTATAGAATTAAACCAGTTCCAAAGTATGATGCTGTGCTCAGAATCTATTTTAAAGAACACATTCAACTCACAAAGGGTTGCATGATTTCATTCATTTCTAGCTCATCAACTGGAGAACAGTTTAATTTTTCCTAATATTTCTGAACCATATAAACATAGTAATAATTACTTGTGTTATTAATTTTAATGGCTAAGTCACTCATGTTCAGATTCCATCTCTTTAAACACACTATCAAATTTTAAAATAACACATGCATAACAGAATAAGGATGGGAGCTGTAGCTGCCAGAGAAAAAATTTTGATGGGGGTTTGGGGGATAAATAAAGCAATTATTTCAAAATTAAAGCTCTTGTTTCAGTTTCAGCAAACAAATCTAAATAAGTCTTCCTTTGACTTTAGTTTCCCATGTAATTCTAGCCAGCTAATTATCCTGAGTCAAGAGTGAGCTGACTCTACACCTGGCCTTTCCATCACATGCCCACGGTCTCCTCTACTTCCATTTCCTCCTCCTCCTCCTCTGAGGTTCAATATTAAAGGAAAACACATCTTACACAAACGCTGACTGACAGCCAGCCAGCTTCCGGGAAATGGTGAATTACAAAAGGAAGAAATCTTAAGGGTATGAGGTGCGGGGTGAGCCAAGGATAAGTCACCATCAGCATCTCTCTTGCCATTGTTTTTGCTCTAAGAGATTCTGAGTTAGGAGAGTAATATCATTTTAAAGGTTACCTAGATTATGGTCTTGGTTCTCACTAAGACACTATGGTCACTTGCTCATCAGTTCAAATTTGTAATACAAAATGTTGGAGGGAATATTTAAGTTTTTCTCTATTTTCAGAAATGAAAATGAAGCATTCCATATACATTGCAGCTAAGCACTTGATGATATTAAAAGGGAATTGTTTTATGTACACTCAACATGCCTTCCTCTACAGGATTCTGAAGGCTAATGTTTGCCTAGCAGAACAGTGCTGTTTTATCCTTTTCTTTCAAAATTAGACACCATTATTCCACAAAGACAGAGTACAAAGAAAGTCGACACAAAAAGCCACAAGTAGTATTAGAACATGCCAGAACACTTAACATCAAACTATCATTTCTCTCTGAAACTTCTGTTGCCAAACTGCTCACAAAATCTGGAAGCTCAAAACAGGTTTCAAGTGCAATTAAAAGCTCCCAAAACAAAACCCTACAAAAACATGCCCCTTCTCCATTTATAGACAACATTTTCTCTGGATCTTAATTAAGATAACGATGCACACCTGTGTCAACACTCTCTGGCAAGACAGCCTTATCAATCATAATCCTTTAAGTACACTGGAAAACAGCAAAGCGATATGACAGAAGCAATCTGTTGCCTTTCCTGGTGTTGGTGTTGTCTCTCTCCCACAAGAATGATGAGATCTTTAAAATCCAGCAGACCTACTTTTATGAGTCTTTAAAGTTCTAACTGTAAACAGCTATTACACTAAATAAACAGGCGTCACCTCCTTTGCACTCGATGGAAACAGTGACAATCCTGCTTGTCCAAAACTCGAAGAGCAAGCTCCACACCACATCTTGGCAGTACAAGCCAAGTGGATCTTATTTTAAAGCTCTACATTTTAAGAGTTAGGCATAATTGGTTCTGTGCAGACAAGACAAACCAATAAACCTTTGGCAAGTTTTAAAATGAAGTTTAACAGGTCTCCATTAAAAGAAAAAAAAAAAAATCAGAGGGACCTACCCCCTAGCGCAACATGTTTAGAAAGACAGGAAGGCAAAAGAAAAACAAACCGAACAAACAAAAAAACCCTTGGTAACCTGGCATGAGAGGTAGGTCCCACCTCTGTTGGGGGTGTGAGCTTCAGGGACCAGAGGAGACCTGAAACTTACAGCTAACAAGTGACAAGTCCCCAAATGGAAAAGCTGACGAACAGAAAGGGGAAGGGGGAGGGGGATTCTCTCCGGTATCCAAGTTAAAACCTCGCGTTTACCAGCGAGAATATAAAAGCTTTCTTATAAACGCGGAGAAAACCCTCCAGATGCTATCTGCATCCGTCTGCCTGCTAAAGATCAGCCTTCCCGCTCCCTCACACATTAGCACAATTTTGCATCAGACGCCGGCGGCCCTGGCCAGCCGAGCAGCACGGCCAGCAATGTGCAAAAATAAAGTAGAAAATAGAGACATCCTTAAGAAATGAGTCTTAAATTTGACGCAGAGGGGAGGTGACAACCACGCAACACAACCATAAAGTTCTAACTGCTTCAGTATCACGCAGGATTCTCTCCAGTCCTTGACACCAAAACAAACAAAAAACAGTTAAAAGAAAAAAATCAGGGGACAGGGGCCGCCGGGTGGAGAGGCTTGGGGGAGAAGAGCTGCCCGGCGGCTCAGAGTTGGCAGGGTTACGTAATGGATGTCTGCATGACAGACTCGGACTCTCGTGGCACAAACCTCCATGGCTCGCTTTCAGAAGTCGCGGTCCTGGACGAGAGCCGAGACCCAGGCAGCGGGCGGCGCGCACGGAGGGGACACGCCCACGCGCGCCCACCGGCGGACCGCGACACCCACGCGGAGGGTCCCACGCTCTAGCGGTCCACGCGCCGGCCCGGCCGTATCCACGCCGTCTGCTCCGTGCTCGCTCTGCGCGCGGGTCGCGGACGCTCCCTCGTGGCAGGCGCGAGTCCCGGACCGTTAGCGCCCGGCTACGGCGGGCGGAGCCGGGGGCGGCGCGGCCGCGGGAGGCGGGGATCCGCGCGGCAGGGCGGGGAGGCTCCCTCTGCCACCCGGGCCTATCCGGAGCCCAGGAGGGAAGGCCATGGAGGCCGCCCGGCACCGGCCCGCGCTCCCCGAGACTCGCGCCTGGAGGGCCGCTCCGCCTCGCTCGCTCCACGCGGGCTCGCAGGCCTCTAGCTAGCAGCTCCGCTTCGCCTCAGCCGCCGGCTTCTCGTCTCCATGACAATAGCGCAGCCCAAGCCCCTCCCAGCCACGCCCCCTCGGCGCCCGGACTCTAAGCAGAGCGGGCTGCGTCACTAGGAGGCGGGGGCAACGGAAACCACTGTCCAATCAGAGGCGAAGGCAGTGGAAGGGAAGGGCGAGGCTGGCCGAGAGGCTGGCGGGCAATGTAGTCCGCAGGGGTCAGAGCTCTTTGGGGCGGAACCTGCCTCGTGAGCGGACAGTGAGGAGCGCAGTAGCGCGCGTGCGTGAAGGCGCGCTGCCGAGTGGGTGTCCGTGTGCCCAGTGGGTTCCTGAGCGCCAAGGCCGGAGCTCAGCAAATAAAGTGTCCCGCGCGTGAAAATCGTTGCGAGAAACTTTGTGTAGAGTTATGCTCTGGCCTCGCTGTAAAAGGCCACAAAGTGCCGAGTGTGTGGCGCTGCAGCGCCGAGCCCCAGCAGCCGGCCCGCTCCCGGTTCACCAGCGCCCCTGTCTGTCCCGAGCTCCAGTGAGCCGGTGACCCGCGGCGGCGGGAGGTGCAGACGCGGCCAGAGGGTCTGTTTTCTATTCTCACTGTGTGGCTGTGATGGGCAAGCCTGTGACTCAGTGGTGTGTGTTTGCCTTGCCAGAGCTTCGCTGAACAAACAGCGGTTGGGTTGGGCACTGCTCTGTCGAGTGTTTGCAGTGGAACTGGGGCGGGTACGAGTGAGGGGTAAGGCGATTTAGTGGAACAAAAGGGACGAGATCCCGCACCCCGGGTCCCCAGACCTGGCCAGCAGGAGAAACGCTGCTCTACACCAGCGTGGTATTGGGGGCGGCTGGGAGGCCTAGTCCGGTGTAGTCTTCCCTGCCAGGCACTCCATGTCCGCCGCCTTCCCCTCTAGAGAAAGGTCACCCCTCCATCCCGAGTCCCTGCAGTCTCTTCTCTCGCGGTCTGGCAGGGGGAGGTGGAAAGAAGGCCCAGGCCGAGACGTTCGGACGCCAGAGCCTAGGCCTGGCCCTCGCCCACCTGCTGCTGTGGCTGGCGCACTGGGGCCATCCTCCTGGCCTCCCCGCGCCCTGGGCGCATCCATCGGCTCTCCCTGGGATCCTAATTCCGGGTTTCCAGCTCACTCTGGGGACCCCTGGCTGGAGGGAGAAGCCAGTGGGGAGTGGGTGACGAACCACTTCGGAGCCCAGCTCCCCGGAGAACAAGACGTCCGGGAACTTCGCAGTCTGCGGTGGAGTGGAGGGCGCGGAGTGTTCGCCCCAGCACAGCCCAGGGCCTCTTTTTCCCTTTGTGCGGCCGACCTGCCTGACCCGCTACCAGGGGTCCAGACCGCCGCTCGCCCGGAGTTAGCAGAGGAGGAAAGTTGGAAGCAATCGTTGCGCTTGGGATGTGATTGTCATCCTGGGGCCGGCGCTCGCGAGTCTGAGAAAGACAGAGGGAAAGGGAGAGCCGGGGAGGCGGGGGGG